TTAATAACCAGGTTCAAAGACTGAATAATGCTATGGAAAAATAAGGAGGGGGTTTAAAGGAAAAATACCAGATTCTGAAACCTCAATGTTTCAAAGTGAAGAAATACCAGAATCACTCCAATAGTCCTAATTTGAATGTAGGACAGCAACAAGTCACCAAGACTCAGTGGAAACCAGCAATGAGTCATAGACTCAGCTAAGAATCAGATGGAGTTAATCCAACTCGTCAGACTCAGTACGAGTCAAGAACCTGAATCACTAAAACTTAGTAGAAACACAGGACTAACAAGGGGATACAACGAGTTAAAGGCAAGTGAACATGAAAAACTAATTTTCCCTCACAAAGAACCACTCGACTACCCAATAACCCAGATCTGCTCCAAAGAAAAACAAAGAACCAAGAACCCTAATCCAAAGACGAGGCTCTCATACTACTTGTAAGGTCCCAAATCAACAAATACAAAAGAATCCAAGATCACAAACCAAAATGTAAGTGCAGAATCATAAAACAACACTGAACACGAGATTTTTCATCCCGTAGGGTCCGAATGTTCAGTCACAATGACCTACTCACCCGTTGAGCTTCCAAAAAGGATATAACTCTAGATCCACTAAGTATCAACCGAAAAATGTAACAAATATTCGAAGGAACCTTTGGTTTCTTCGTGTTAACCTCGCATCAACAATACAGATACTGTAATCATCAGAACCAACATTTAATCTATACACTATTATATAGACTTCACTAAGAATGGATTGACAAGAATACATAGCACGATTACAGTGACAGAACCAGAGTAAACTCTAATTTACACGCAGAGAAAAGGGAGCCAAAGAGAGACGAGAGTAGAGTAATCTCAAATGTGTAGAAACACCAAGAGCCAAGTTATCAAGTAAGGTGAACAGTTGCAATCCAAGGGCAGATAGCCAGCCACGTGTAAGGCTGAAAGATAGAGACCAGAACCCATATGACTTAACAAGCCCAACAGCACAAACGGCCCAACCAGAATAGTATAGTGAGACAGCCCAATATATTAACATGATTTAATGATATGAAAGCAGTTTCCCATTTATTCAGTTGTAACTTTTTGTAGGCTTCCTCTTTTTTGGAATGATGGCATAATTCAAATCAGATTTATTGTGGATTTAATTTTTTATCAGCTGTCACATGGAAGACATAATTTACCATCTATGAGGAGTGAGTTTGAGAGGCCAGCTACCCTGCAAGGGTTGTAATTCTACCTCAGGCAAATACGCTGGCTTGGAGTGAGGGGCCTACATAGTCTTCTGTTATTTTGTTTCAGTTACCTTTCAATAAGATGCAGCGTCAGCCCATTACTGCAGAATGGAGGACCTGAATTTTCTGCATTACACATTCTTCAATATTTCAATTTTTGTCTGCGGGGATTTCCCTTCTCTTTCCTTCATAATTTATTTTGGTTCAGAGGATGGGTTGTTGGGGTTGTAATTGGTTTTTATCTGGACTGTGTTGTACATTCACAGACTCACAGCTATAGTACAGTAACGCTAATGGGTTGAAGACCATATCAACAGCTCTTCCACCATGGAGATAAGGCCTATCTCACATCACCAGCGGCAACATCTTTCTCATTGTGCAGAATTCTTGTCTATAGGGCTCAAAGGTTGAGGTATAGTTTCAAGAATATGTTGGATAAATATGGTGAAGCTGAAATTTCTATTGAAGAGATAACTGCAAATCTAATGAGAGACACTACCAAGGATGACGAAAGCGAGCTGCCTCTCATTTATCCTCCAGAATTTGAATGTCAGTTGAGTTCCATATTTGTAGTGGCTGATACACCTTTGGTAATCTGAATTATCATTCCATCTTTATCTTGTTGGGGGCTTTGATGCATCTCCTTCTTGTAGAAACATAACTATGTTTTTATTCCAAATGTAGGGATGTTATGGCACAAGAAGCACGTCTGCAGTAGTCTTGAGAACAAGTGGGGATGTCATTGATAAGGGCATTTTGCGCACTTATTTAGGCCA